GAGGGCAGTGATGCTGAGAGCAGCACACAGTATCTTACTGCCAGAGGAAGATGCAGACAGTGGGATTATCATTTCCATTTGCTCATGCAACACTGACAGCCGGCACAACTCCCTTGATAGACCACACAAAACTTCTACTTCAATCTTAGCATCAAAAAGTCACTGAGAACCACAGGGTCTGAAATAAACTTTGTGCAGGTACTTTAAACACTCTTTCTGTGATGGATGCAAAATGTGTGTGAGTGTACCTCAGGTCTGGAGATTTTTATTTCTCAATTTATCAAGCAAAATGGAACTGACACATTTCCTGGTTAGCTCAGAAATTACTGTTAATCTCGTTTTACTTGGAAACTATTTCTGCCTTTGCTCTTTTCTCAGTTTGACTTCCTATCTTGAAATGTCTCATAACAGAAGTACTGAGTTCACCTTTCCCCTTGTTCTTAAGGGCTGTGTCTGATCTCACAACTCTGCCAGTTCCACCCGCAGCCCGCACGCTGCCGGTACCTCCTGAACAAAGTTGGGAGCCTCAGTTCCCTGCAGAATCAGGCTGCAAGTGTTTCATTCCATCATCTCCTGAAACCTTTAGAGTCTTTCCATGGTCACATCTCAATTTCTGACTTTGGGAAATCTTGCTGCCTGGTACATGTCATTGTTCTGAAGTTCTGCCCTTCTTAGTGTGTTATTAAAGTACAAAGCCACTGGAAAACCTGCTGGGGGAACTTAGAAATTCTTGTACCTTATCCTAAGGACAAATATTTTTGACACTTACTTCTACAGTAGTATAATATCAGCAAAGCTGGTTAAGTTGGGCTTTTAAAAACAATTATTTCTGTAAATATTGTGCCAGAATACAGTATTAAAATCTTTTAGGGAGAATGGGATCTGCTTTACCTTCCCTTTGTTCCAGAATAGCAGCAACTGGTTTTATCATTATTATACAGTTTTCTATCTTTTCCTATGTTCGTTTTCTTGAATATCCATAAATGAAAACATTCCAAAGGCTTAAATCAGTAAAAATATTGCTACCTAAAATACATTTTAATGTGTAAGTAAACACTGTATTGGCCTTTTTGACCTCTTCATGCAATTTGTATCGAGAATATTTCCTTTTCTACTTCTTACACTGCTACTTTTCTCAGCTCCAGCTATAAGAAATGCTTTCTAGTTTATTATATGTCTCTAGTTTAGATTCACATCACTATTTCTAAAAAGAAACATACCTAACATATCTGTTGGTTTTGTAACATGCTTGGTGGCTTGACAATGAGGAAAAAATAGGATTTTTAGTGCTTAAAAACCTCAAAGGATTTCAATTATTCTTTTATCCTTTCATCAAATTTGCTCCTGTGCATTTCCCATGTTAGGAAAGAGTTAACAACCTTCAGCCAGCAGACTGCAATCAACAGGTTGCTCTAACAGAAAAATAATAACCCTAATCCATCTTTTAAAGTTTAGAAGGTTGGACTAAATGATGAAAAAATACCGATTAAAGCCCTCTGAAAAGCTGAAGTGGGGCCAGAACTGAAATGCTTTGTGTTTCATGAAAAAAATCTTTCTCGTTGCTAAGTGAAAGAACCATCACAATTAAAAAAAAAAATGTAACTTTAAAATTTCTGTCTTGCCATCTAGAACTGAATTCTCTCTCTGCCCATAGAAAATGACAACAAAACACTTGCTAACCTTTAGGTGGCCAATTCACAGGCAGGTGGAGAGGTTCAGGTCCCTGGAATAGCGTTGAAACAAAAGAAGCATCCTGTTTTCTTTTTTCAGTGTCTTTCTCTTCTCCTTTTTTTTTAAGCATTTGAACAGTGAAGGGTGGGTGGTGGGGTGTGTGCAGAGAGAGCAGGGGGTGCAGGCAGCCCACGCTGGTGTAGGAAGAGTTTTAATGGCCGATGCTGGGAATATGGTTTGCCTGCTACAGTGTCTGCACTACTGCAGCTCTGTGTGTGGGCGTAAAGAAATGACACGACTGGGTTTCAAACCATTACACTGAAGATTTGCAAACAGTTAAAAAAAAAAAAAAACACACCAAAACACACAACCCCATCAGGCACAAATGAAAAATTATGACTTTTCTCCTTTTTATCTTTTTCTAAGGGTTTTTTGTTGCTTTGTTTTAACTTAGCAGATTTAATCTAGTCAAGTTTCTTCCTCAGCCTCTAAAGGAAAAAAAGGTAAATTGAGTATTTAGGAAGGTTTTATATTTTAGATAGTATGAATATTTTCTTATAAATTTTTGCTGCTATTTTTAAATTAATCTACAAGAGCTTGGATTCCTGAAGGGTATCCAGATTTCCCCAGTGAAAGTCTTCAGAGGACACCTATATTTGTGCTTTAGGACGTGCTAAATAGGTGCCTAAATCTTGGTAGCATCACTAGCACAGTACAATAGACAGAGCAGCCACTCCACAACTGGCCAGGCAGGACATCTGAGCCCAGGATTACTCCTTGAAAATTCCACAAAACACAGCCAAAAAACCAGGACATGCTGACAGCCCACTTTTGCTCAGCAGTCCAGCAACACCTCAGGTTTACTGATCTAAATTGGGCAGAAAACAGACTTGAATATTTGTTGTAACTACTGGAGACCAACAGGAGTGAGACAAAGGGGCTGTTCCCTGCCACATCATGGGGAATGAGAGGAAAATGGGATTTCAGCTGATATAAAAGTGCTGACACAAGTGACAGGGACTAAAACAGTTATGAACACACTGCTGTTGGGAGGGACAGGTGGAAGGTTTTGTCAGAAAAGCAAGAACACTCCTCAAACATATTTTTACCACAAAAAGCGAAAGACAGACAAAACAGTTTTAGAAGGGAACTTGAAAACTTCAAGGAATCTTTATGACTTGGCTGCTCCCTGATAGTAAGGGACTGACACTTGATAAATGTATATCTTCAAGCATGTTGAAAAGAAAGAGCCAGGGTAAAAATCTTGTGCTTGGGCAGAAGGCACCCCCAGGGTGCAGGGGTTTAGGTGTCCATCTTCTCACACATGCAGATGAGCCCCAAATCAAGCAGCATTTCTTTGGTGTCGTGCTGACAATGAAAAGCAGAGCAGCTGCATGCACAGGGACAGGGGAGGGAAAGAGGGGAGGCTCTGGGTGGTGCCCCCGTGGCTGTTCTCAGCAGGGTACCCCTGGCAGTCATTCTCCTCCTCACCCAGGCTGAGGAGCCAGAGCTGAATGTCAAACCAGCACAACTCAGTGTCAGTAAAGCCAGCAGGACTGGACTGGAGGGCTTCAGACTGCTGATCCCAGACTTTGACAAAGACTGATAAAGGAGTTAAACAGTGAATCACCCAACAATGGATGAAAAACAGTCCTCAGTTCTGTGTCTGTGTGGTAAAACCCTCAGATATTGCCATTATTACACAGCAGTACAGCCTGACTTGGCACTAAGTGGGGTCTGGCTACTGGCCACAGGAGAAACTTAAATTTTTTTTTCCATGTATACACTAGCAGCTGAGGTCAGCTCCAGGAAAAATTTGCTGGAGAAATATCTGTGTGCTCAGCTGATACAGAAAAGTGAATGTCTGGAGAGACAAGAAATCTGCCTGCCAGTAGGGTTCCATTCATGCAGACCCAGTGCCATTGCACAACCTGATGTAGTCTGCAAGCTGACATTGCTTAAATCAATTTGGTAAAACTGGTCGTTTACCTGGCATTGTAAACTTTTTTTTTTTTTTTTTTTCTTTTTTGTGTGTATGGATAGAAGTAAAAGAAAATACCCACAATTCTTTTCTATTACTCTTTCTCTAAACTCTTAATCTTTTTGTTCTGTTTGCTCAGTGAAGACCCTTTTGGCCCAGTTAAACATCATGCATTATTAATGAGTAGTATCAGCTCAATCTTTTATTATCATTCATATTTTTTTAAAAATTTATTTACTATTTTCTTGACTCAGTTTGAAAAGTGTAGTAACCAAATACACATCCTGCAGCAGTAACTCTCAGAGGTGTATGTGTGGCTCATTTTTGTCTCAATATGACATGAACATCTATTTCATGACCTTGTAGCTGCTGTATTTCCAAGTCACCATTTCTCCATGGTGTTGGTGACTGTGCTGCAGGTGAAGTAGCACCTGGAATGTGTAAATGCACCCAATCCTCCTCTGAGGACTAATCCCCATGAAGAACCATTGTGTAATATGGATATTGGTTATCACAAATAGCAATATTTCTTTTATAGACATGAACACTTAAGTTTGAATGTACAGAAATCATGGTTGCCTACACACCTTTCATTTGACCATCTCCAGCATGGTACTTAAGATGATTGGTTTTTTTCCCCAAAGATCACAGCTTTGTGAATTGGCAGAATATTTTAAAGTAACTATTAAAAATCTGGGGGGAAAAAATTGAATATAGAAAAATATTCCAAAAACCACATTCTTTTAAACTGGACAGCCAACTACCACCCTCCTATCAACATCACATAACAACTACTAAGATTCATCTGGCAGTTTTTGCTGTTTGTTGAGCCAGCAAGAGCTACCACCCAAAGAGGAGTATAACCCTCACAAACTGGTCAGGCCATACCAGGAGAAAAAATTTAAAGACAAAAATGTGCTTGAACAGCAAAAGGGAGATACAAAGCTTCATTAGAAGCAAACATGGGTCTCCTTGCCAACAAAAGTCAGTTCAAGAAAAATGAAAAGAGAAGGCAAAAGTAATGGATCCCATAGGAAAAAGACTCAAGGCTGCTGAGAAAATGCTAAGGCAGCCACAAAGCTGAAAAGGTTCAGCTGGTTGCAGACACAACCTCAGTTTCACTAAGAATTGAATTTTTCCTTTAAAGTACTTGGGTTCTTTCCACAGCCCAACAGCAGGGATGGACACTCACCCAAAGGAGAAAGGAAAAAGAAAGAAAAGGAAAAAGTCCAGCCTCAAACCATCTTCCATTAAAATCCCATAGACCTTTTTTCCAAATGTAGTTTCAGTGTGTGTTAGGTAAGGCTCTAAATTCTGAATCATCACACAGTTTGATTTGGGGCTTTATTTGGTTTGGGTTTTTAGTATTAATTCACCACAAGCAGGTATGCTGAAGGGTTGTTTTATGGACTAATTTACAAGGATAGCCTAAAATCCAAGAAAAATCTTGGACATCAGAGAGAAAAAGCAGATGAATCCAGCTTTGCTCCTGAAGTATCAGGTGATGGGGTGGGAATGAAGAGCTCCATTTCCTCCTCCTTGCCCAAATCTTCCTTTTGCTGACAGCTGAAAGGTTAAAAAGTGGAGGATATTATGGTGCCTCTGCCACAAAAGAGGTGATGTGCAGGAGGAATAAGAAGAGTCTTTCCAGGTCCTATAGGCTCCAGGATTAATGAGCTGTAGTTTTTTCAGGCGTATCACATCACAAACATGAATAATTTCCATTATGACACACTTAGAAGCAATGTAGCTTTCAGAGAAACAGTTGCTCCAACTCGAAAAGGCAGGAAGGTTCAGTGGTTTGTACATGCACAAACTACAGATGTAGTCATTTTTCCATCTGTTTCTTATTTGTCACAGAAAAACTGATATAAAACAGATAACTCAGAACGACTGACAGTAGTCAGAAACGTTCTAAAGCCCACCAAGTACACTGAGTTTAATGTGTTTTACAGAAAAAGAAAATAGAATTTGACAGGGTCATTGATCACTTGAACCAGCTCAGATCAGTGTCAAAACCCATAAAAGGAAGCATCAGTAACTAGAAATAGAGAAGCAGAGCATTCCCATCACTGTGACCCCAGGCCAGCACCAGTCACCAGTAAACCCATGGTCCACACCATTCAGACTACTCAATTCTGTATTTCTTTTTATCTCCCCATAAGTTTTTATGTAGTTGTGTCTTTTCCCAACATGTTGTCAAGGAAACCCTACACTCCTATAGCTCAGTATCTAGCTCTTTATTGCTATTGACACCCCAAAATTTAGGATTTTGAACCAAGTGGTACACTGTCCTTCCCATTATGAAGGGATCTTCACTTAAACAATAAGATAGATAGAGTTAAAATGAAGCCTTTTTTGAAAGTTCAGCTCTTCCAAAACGCCTGGGAGAAACTTGCCAATTAACTCTTCTGTTTATTATTTTATTAATCATTTTACAAATCAATATTCTATTATGCTCTATGCTATCCACTGAAAAATAGCCCTGTAACCTGACTGATGTCTTGTCTTTTAGCTCTGTCTCAATTCCACTCTTAGGTTGTCTTTGAACAAGGTTGAGTTCCTCTGTAAAACAATATTTCGTGAATTTTGTGAGAGCTGCCAGCTAAATTTCAAGTGACAACCATTAAGTTGCAGTTGCACACTGCTTATATCTGTGTCATACTTTTATCTAACAGTTGTACAGATTTTCACTGGTAGAAGAGGTGCTATATATAAATGTATATACGAACACTGAATTTAGGGTGCACTGCAGGGAATGGGAGCTCTCCATCCCCTGGGGGTGCCACGGTGGTGTCCCCTGTGCCCACACCGAGCTCATGTGGAGCACGTGAGCCACATCCACACTGCAAAGCACCAGGGCAGGCTCAGATCTGGCACTTTGCCTCTCCCCTGGGGCTGAGGAGCTCTTCAGGTTCCACACAACACTCACCTGCCCCAGGAGTGCCCCGGGAGGGCTCCAGCTCTCACCACGTGCTTTAAGGCTGCAGTTCTTACCCTGAGCGCCTCATGCAAGGATAACTGCAGGGTAAAGGCAGGGAATGGTCCTGTGAAGGAGCACTCCTGGCAGAGAGAAGTTTATTGTTGCACTGGACTTGGATTTCAGCTGTCTGTCATGGTGAGAGGTATTTCTGTTCCTCTCTCCTTCGGGTCTCATGGAGCTTTGCTTTTATCTGTCGTCAAGGAAACACCAGGGTTTTTTCGCCTTGCTCATTAATGTCTGCATTTTTGTTTCCATAGCTACAAAGGAACCTTAGTGTTTTAAAATAGCAGTAATTGGATTACTATGACTTTTTCAAATTTATTGACACCATTAATGGCTCCGATTTTCAAAAGCAGACACCGAAATTGTATCAGCAGTTTTTCAGCTATTAACATGTTATCTCCTTGTCCTGAAATCCTGGGTACATGCTCAGAAAAGTCTTCAGCAGCCAAACATTCACTGCAGCCAGACTCAGGCTGCATACGTGGTGCTCTGAGATTACTGAAAATAGTGATAGTAATGCTCTTTACTTGGATTACTTTCAATTTCTGATGGTCTCCTGCAGAGGAGTGCACAGGTTCTCTTGTGAATCTGCTCAGTATTAGCACATTACAGATCCTTTGTGATTTGACCCCAGGGAAGAATTTTTACAGCCAAGGATCTAGGCAACCCAGGATGCAGGAACATGGGAAAAGCATGAAAAATTGAGAGTACCAGCAATGTTAACAACTGGTATTACTTAGAAGGGACATAATTCATGTTTTGAAACAAAAAGTGACACTCCTGCACTGTCTGTGGCTCTATTGCCACTGCCCTGAAATTGTTCCTCTGCTGCCTTCTAGCACTTTCCATTTATTTGTTACCATTGCCTATCTGAGGTGCTCACAAAGCACCATAAGTGCATATCCTGTACCTCTGCCCTTTCTTTCCTGCCCCTCCTGCCCTCAGCTGAGGACAGAAAGCAGCTGAATTCCCTGCATGGATGTCCCATCAGCTGTGTCACCACTCCTTGTGCTGAGCCCCAGCCAGACACACACTGGAACTGGAATCAAATTAACCAACAGTTTAAAAAGTTGTAAGAGGTGGACAGATAGAATGTCCAGATGCCACCTCTTGTTTTAGAAAAACAAGCTCAAAAAAGTCACCAGCCTAAAATCTAGGCATGGCAAAAAGGTGACAAGTGGCTAAACACAAATAAGTGTGAACAAGGAAGTCCCTTTAATCTAAAATATTAGTTCCTGTTTTTCATAATGGATTTCTGTGCATCCTGCAGCTCAGACATTCTATTTCCATAGAAACAGTATCCTGTGTCTCTGAGGAGCTGCTGTAGCTGTGTGCTGTTATGGAAACAGTCCTCTGAACAGCTCAACTCATGTCTGTATTTCAGAGATTGTGTTTGTAAAGATCCATTGCTAAATTATCCTTTCAGAATTCATTTTAATAAAACTAAGTCCCTGATGTACATGGCAATTTAATAAAATCCTCAAGGCTTCTCCACATGAAAAATATAGCAATGGAAAAAACATACACATTAGAATTACCTTGCCCTTTCAATAATTACCAACCTTTGCTAATTCCTACCATCAGCAAAGGTTCGGGGAAAAGATGGGTCTGTCCTCCCCAACAATCATTAACAAAACTACCTCAGGAAAGCAAATTTTTATGTCATGTTCTGTGCAAGGGCTCCTTCACACACCCATCCTGTGTGCCAGCATGGAAATGAAGTCCAGAAGATAAGAAGGTACAGGGAGAAAATGTGGCTCACACGACTGAACTGGGAATTCTCACATTTTAATTCCAGGTGAACAGTTCTTTGTCTCAGGAAAACCATCCAAGGCAGATTTCAGAAAAGACATAACATGTGAGTTGGAAGCTCAACTCCCACTAATTTTTTCCTGGGAATTGAGTCCTTGGCTGATCCTAGAAAATCTCCTCAACATTTTCATATTTGTAACATCTGAGATACTACTACTTACATATTTCACTAGAGTTCTGTGGGCATGAGTATTTTGTATTTTCTTGAATAAAACCACAAAAGAATCAGGAGTACTAAAACAAAACAACTAAAAGGTGCTGTTGGGGCTAATAGTCAACTGTAAAGAGCTTCCTGACTAATTACATTGATTTTTTTAATGTAGTTACTGCAACTTAAGACTGTAAATTCACACTTTTTATCTTTATCTTTTTTTTTCTTTAATGAAAATCATCCACACCAAGAAGGTCCTTTCCAACCCAAACCATCCTAACAAGGTTATATCCTATCTCTTTATTCCTACACCAAATGATGGTTATTATGGCTTGTAAAGGGAACATTTCCTAACACTGAATATCTGAATATCTCTGATTAAAATTCATAATGTATAAAGAAATCCCCTAAACATAATGAATTTGTAAGCATAATTCAAACACCTCCACTGAACTTCAGGAAAGCAGGAAAACAAAATCTACTCAGAAATGTGTCAGTTTTGAAACCCATGTCTTTCCCCCTCTTGAGAGGGATGCAGTGATACCTCAGCAATATCATCATCATAATCATCTATTTTTTTTTTCCTTTCAAATATTTACAGCCTCTTTTATCAGCAAGGATTATGATATGTGACACTCTGAAACACACATTTACAAAGGGAACAAACATTCAGTTTGGAATAAGCAAATTAAATAAGTTTTAATTGTTGCTGGTACTGGGTTGTCTCCTAGTTTTGTGATTAATGAAGCTTTGTAGAGGCTTTTTATTAATATCACCATTTTCCTTAGAAGTCTCCTTGCCTGCTGCCCCCCTCACTGATGGACCTGGCAGCACCCACCCCTGTGTGAGTCCTTCTGCTCAGGAGTGTCCAGCTGGTCAGTGTTTGTTTCTCCTGTTCCTATGCTACTCATCCCACTGCACATTTCGGAGCTCCTGGCTTTGAAGACACATAGAATGCACATCTGGATTAAAAAGAAGAGCTGTGCTCTTCATCTTGCCTTTTAAAGACCTTTATTTTTAATAATTACTGCTTTACAGTATTTTGTGTTTCAGAGAGCTCCTGGATACTCCAAATTTTTTATCACTAGAAAGTGTATATAAGAATTCCTCTTATTTCTGAGCACGAAAACCAAAAATTGACACTAAGAAGCCTAAACTCCATTTTTGCCATCTTATTAATCATGAACCTGCTGGATATCCTATTGGATCAGTGCACGTGAACTGATATATATGGAGAAAGTTGGAAGTGGTTCCTAAATGACTCAATTTAGAGAAAAAAATTAATTGAGGCAGCTAGGTAGAAAGTGCTTTAATGTACACTATGCAAGATCTAGATATGAAAAATTGCATTTTAAATGGTTTTGTGAGAAGAGTAGTCAATGCTAAAACTACTTATTCCTTTAAAAATATTTTTAACTTCAGTTTGTAGCTGTCTGTTAACATTTTGGACTCCGTAACAGAGAACATATATACATCCTCAGGAGACAGATTAATCCAAGCTGACTTAATCATACTGGGATAAATTTGATGATTCTCAGTGCATGGAATTTAACTTTTTCCTTTTTTATTTATACACGTGGCTCATTCCTCTAATTATTGCTGAAACACTAAGTTGCAGACAGCTTCGTTCAGCAGCACATTAAGTCTAGGCAGTGCAATGGTGAAAAAGCTGTTTTCTCCCAAAGGAGAAATTAATCTAATTAATCATCACTAATGAAGCTGTGATAATTAACAATAATGGGGGTGGTGGAAAGCCTAGAAGAGTCTGAGGGCTGAGTCCAGGCTGTGAGGATTTTACTTGCAGTCCTTCACAAGTGCAACACACCCAGGGCTGCTCTGCAAATGGATTTTTAACAGCTCAGATGTTCTTGTAATATTTACTAAATTCTTAGACCCTCTTCAAGTTGTTGCATATGTTTGACTCAAATCTTCTTGGTCTGTGTGTAGCAGGTTTGTGCAGGCCTGTTAAATGTGTTTGGCTTTGGATCAGGACAGAATGGAGTGGAGTTCTCTTGCAGGATTTCCAAGATTATAAGTATTCCCACATATTCCTCTCACTTTTCTTTAAGTGTTGTAATATTTCACAGCTAAGTACATAAAAAAGCCCCCATGGCCTGGGGTGTCAGACAGTGGCTACAGGAAATGCAGATTCAAGCACTTTATCAAGCTGGACTCTCAGAGGTTTGATCACATCATCTCATGGCCTTTGATTTTGATTTTTTCTAAATGGAATTTATGGCTTTTACATTAGTGGAGATTTTGTGGAGTCTGCTTACTTTGCAGTTTAATATGTTATTAGAGCATACCATGAAAGAAAATACTTTTGTCCCAACTGTGCATGAAGAGTATTCTGTTACTTTATTTGCATGGAAGATCCTTGCACTATGTTTCCATCATAAACTCTCCTATTTGATTAATATGTTTTATTTATTTTCATTTTATAGTTTATCCCTTAGGTTGGATGAAATGAACTCATGAGAACCACTCAGAAGGCTGTTTGGAAGAGAGAAGTATTTTCAGTGAAGCTACAAACAGGAAACCACCAGTATCCAGATAAGATATTAAAAATTTAAAACTGTCAAAGCACCTCATCCCCAGAAGGACAAGGATCATTTCAGGTGCAGTTTTTGACTTCCATGCTTGCTGTTTCCCTGTGAGTCGTCAGGCCTGTCCAAACATTTCTTGTCAGTTTGGGGCTGGGAACTCCCACTGTCAGGCCCAGATGAGAGGCTGGGACTGAGCCTTAAGTTGCTGCTCCTCGTAAAGATCTGAGGACTGCAGTCCCAGAGAGGAGGTTTTGTGTTCTCAGTTCCTGAGACTGGATCCCCTCCCTGCAAAGCAGTAACAAATACAATCCCAGCACTAAGGACAGCAGAAATACTCTTAAATCCAGGATCCACCTGTTCTCTGGCCCACAAAACTTACAAGAAAAACAATTTAATGGCTTGCCTTCACCAGAGCTGTGTGGTCAGCCTGGTGAAGCCTACATGCCTCAAGGCTGTTTGGTTTATTATTGATTTGATCATTGTCTTGGTGACAGTTAAGATGTCAGCACTGATGACTAAGTGGCCACTTCCATGTGGTACTTTGTGTATGACAAAGTCACAACTTTTATTTCCAGGTTGTGATTTCTTTAAACCATGTCCAAAGATAGCTGATGGAGCACAAGATTTCTGAAACAAAGAGTTTGACAGAAATGTTGGACAAGGGAGCAAAGTCTGAAGACTGTGAGTTATGTTTGTGATTTAACACATAATTCTGACCACGACCTGTCCTCACTGATCCTTCAGGCTTTGCACTGAAAGATGCACCCAACAAATGTTTGAGACCACAGTGATTTTATAAGAACTGTTATCATCTTGTGAATTACACAAGAATCACTGGGAGAGAAACATAATTATCTCCAAACAACACAAAATCATCAGCATTTTCAAAGTACTTTAGAATTTGTGGTTTTGTCTTTAATTGTGCTGTTACTGTGCTTGCTCATGAGTTGTGGGTGATAACATGTGATTATCATCTGCCTACTTGATCACATGCACATTTGTGATGCTTGCAAGAGCAAACATTATTGGCTGGGATCTGTCACATTCTCAGTTCCAGAGACTGTTTCCCAGACAACAGCACAGTCCCCTTGATCCACCAGCCCTGCACCACTGTGGACCTGTGCTCAGTCTAACACCTGGTGGCAGCTGCTGCTCCCACTCCTGACACAGACAAGATGTTTGTAGAGCCATAATCCAACTGCCTGAACTCTGCAAATCAAGGAAACTGCAGAACCTAAATTAAAAAGTCAAAATGAGTCAAACAGCACCTACCTTGTTACAAATTCTGAGTCAGTTTTTAAATTGAAACCAGATCTTTCCTTGCCAAAAGCCATTTAAGGGCCATGTACTACCTGTTTAAGTCCTCTGCTGCCAAACATAAAGGCAAGCACAGCTGTGTAAGGTGGTAAATCATTTCTCTGTAGTAATTGGAGTGTGTTAAAACAAAGGAGCCCAGAGGGCAGGTGGAAGAGTGAGTGTCAGAAGCAGCTCAGGCCAGCTGGGTGGGATCCTGTGTGCAAGGCCTTTACACTTTGGATGTTGTCAGGTGGGCGAGGAAGCTGATAAGAAAAATAATTATTTGCATTCAAATTATATAAACAGTGCCAGAGCCTGGTTAGTGTAGGCAGTGTTAGACAGAGTGTTTCCCAACTGCAGGAGATGTATCACATGCTGGGTGAGGAAGGTATATGAGGCAACAGCACTCTGAAGGTGTGCTGCTCTAAGCCTCTTGGCACATTTTATGGCAGAAGAATAAAATAAAAAGGATCTGAAAATCAAATGGTTGTCCCAGATCATTCTATTTAAAATGCACATTTTTAATGTGACCTAACTTAAACTCTGTGTTGTGAAGGAAAGATAATGTCTGGGTTTGAATTTATCAGGGGGAAGGGGGCAGGGTATTGGTGGGATTTGGAAAGGGTTCTTCAAGGTGTGCAGGGGCATTTGGGGAAGGGAGAGATGTTAAATGGCAGGTAACAAAATCTCAGTCTCCCCTTGATGACTGAGTGGCTGTAGCAGCAGTGTAGCAGTTTCACCAATCAGCAGTTCAGATCTCAAGCTGTCCTTCCACATCAGGTGGCCACAGGTTTCTGAAGATCTTATCACTAATTTTTTTGTTTTTAACTTGTTAAGAATGACTTCAAATGTAAATGGAATATTAAATTATTTTGCTTATTGATCCTGTGATGCTCGGTGTGAATACCCTGTAGGTTTGCAGAGGGACTCTCTGGGGTGTGCCATTGCTCTGTGGGCACCATGGGAGATCCACAGGAGGATCTATGGGAGATTTACCACCTTCTATACACTCTTCCATATCACTTCTGACTGCAACTCTGCCTTTCAGAGCAAATCCACAGTCAAGATGAAGAGGCCATTTTCTCTCCAACCAAAGACTGCCTAAAATTTTTTAAACATATCCCTCCCTCACCTTCTCAAGAAGTTGAGAGCTTCTTCAACTGCATTCTGTGAATTATGTCCTTGGCTTTTCCATTAAGTACCAAAGGTTCTTATCTGACTGAGTGCACAGGTTCACAACAGGACATTTGCACTCTGAGTTGCTCTCAGGTTACCTGAGACCAGCCTTACTGAAATCACATCCCAGAGAGTTGTGCAGTGTAATTGTAGCTGTGGTGACCAATATCTGCAAAGGGGAGAAAAGCTGCTTCATCACAGATGAGGACTTGTGCAAATTGAAATCTAAAAGCCTGTTCTCACAGGGACACACAAGGAGTGCAATACACAGACAACACATGTGATCCAGCCCCCTCTCGTGGTTTTTCCACACAGAAGGCAGGAATCAACTCAAACTGATTTCTTAGTAATGATAAAACACCTGCATCTCTTCTCTGAAAGCTGATATGGTTACTGGCATTCCACCTCTTCTTAGGGAGTGATAGGTATTAGTCTGAGGACAGAAAATTAAAATATTTTAAAAATTTTATTTGTATTTCCTAGGCAATTTGATGGCTATTTCTGGTAGAATATGAAGGACTAAGGGAAGGGGATTTGTTGGCTATTTCTATGAGCTGTTTTTTCCTCAAACTGAGGGAGGAAGTAAATACTACAGGATAGAAAACAAAACTCTCCTGGTCAACTGCTAAAGTGCAGAAACAAACACAGGCATTTGGTTGTCTTACACTGCTCTGTGTTACAATTGAGTTGAACTGAATTGCATGATACAAACAAGTCAGTGTTTGTCAGTGGGTGAAGAACAAATGCACTGAACTGAGAGAACTGCTGCAGGTCTGGCTAAAGCCAAGCTGGTTCCAGCATTGGCCAAATCAGCCCTGATCAGTTGTTCTTGCTCTGCAGCACCAGCACGGCCTCCCTGTCATTTCCCCATGCCATTTACTCACTGTGCAAACAGAAATTGAGGTGCTTGTTCCTCACAGGGCTCGTCCTGGCCATGTGAAGAGCCGTCCCAGAGCAACACGAGCAGCAGCCCCAGGACAGAAATAACTGTCCTCAGGTGGCACCAGGGCCAGCTCCCCCAGGCTGGGCAGAGCTGCAAGCAGCTGCACTGGGGCACTTTGGCAGAGCAGCTCCCCTGCCTGAGGCTCTGAGGTTTATGGAGCTCAGGAGTGCTGTTTGCTGCATCCTGCTCCTTCCCCTCTGCCCTGGGACAAAGGAGGGCTCCAGGCCTCAGTGATGAGGAATTTGGGACAACACCTGTTCTGAAGGAAGGTGAAGGGCTTTGGGGTGGGAGGCCAGATTGCTGCAGCAGTGGGGAGCACTGTCAGGACTCAACATCAGCAGTTGAACCGCTAATGCTTGCAGAGGAGGTAAAACTGGTAAAGAATGCTGGTTACTTCAATAAAAACACGTTTTCAGTACTGAAAGGGAAATATTTTTATTCCATTTATGTTTCACTAAAGAGAGAAAGAGATGCACCAAAGCATGTTAATCTCTGCTACAGTGTGAGCTCTGTTCTGATCTAATAAATGTCTCATCATGGAAACTCATTTGTGCCTAACACCACTTCTCCAGAATGTTCTGTAATGGTGGCATTTCCCCACTGGTGTCTTCTTTAGATATTGATCAGAAATCTGGAAGGATCAAAATTACTTGAACAAAACTCCTATTAAAGTATGGGCAAAGCTAGAGGAGCTGGTACCACCCTGCAGTGAGGTATTGCTGTGTTTTCTTTCTGTCAATGAACGTATTTGTTTATTAAAAGCACCATTTGATGTGACCTTGTCATGCAGGGATGCATTATGACTTGCCAGGACTTAATGAGCCAATTCTGGAAGCACTGAAAGGGAGTTTTGCTATCCAACAAAGTTTTCTCTGAAAAGTACATTCAGGAAAATACAGCCAAGCATGAGGAGGCTGATACTGAATTGACAGCTGATGAAAGAGTGTTTATAGCTGGGCAGCCATGAGGAATTGTATCATGGAAGTCACTGAAGAGGTATGTCTGGAAAAGAAAACACTGACAATTTTCTACCATTACAACTGCCAGATTGACAGAGGGAGTGGGAACTTGTTTTTCCAGCTCAAGAAAAGAGCAAGACTTTTGAATGGTTTTCATTAATTTTGCCTGTGAATACCAATATTTCACACCAATAAAACTTGGATTTCAGATCAAGGAACTTGTGCTGTGTTACTGCAGCACAGCCATATTTCAGAATATGACAGGGGGGGAAATACACCACAAAATACAATTTTCTTAAGTATAAAAAACAGTCAGACCTCAGCTGCCATGTGAAAAGTGCAGAGTTGTGATAAGGAAGCAGGGCAGACAGCAGAGCCGTGGCAGGGAGCACAGCAGGTGAGCTCAGAGCTGTCCCCTCTCACCGCTCCTGTGTCAGTCCCCTGCAGTGTCACCTCTGCACAGCTCAGCTCTGCTGACCCATGAGCAATGGCACTTCAGGCTTGCATTCATTTCCCTCAGAAGTGCAGCCTGAGTCACTGCCATTGTCACCAAACCCTTTCCAGGGTGGAATTCAGTGACATTTCGTGCTGCAGAGCGGCCTGGTTGATCTCTGGGGCAGGGCTCTGAACCAGGGTGGCGTTTGCTTTCCTAATGGACACACAATACCTGTATTTTTACGTAATAGTGCAGGCCTGATTGGGTTTGACAATCTGGGAGACCAGGAATGATGTGGATACAATGCTGGAGATAAAGAGACTTTGGGGTTGTCAGTTATTTCCTGAGATTTATGCGTTTTGGTCAAAATTATGATGTTTTTATCATAAGGCTGCTTAAAGGGGACAAGTCACAGCTCCCTGCTGGCAAAAAGGGGTCTGGCAATACAAAATCTTCATGCCTCATTGAGCAGATAAATTGTTTGGGACCCCAGAGCACTTTCCCACAGAATTCATCGGGCAATTTCCAGTATTTCTTAGCCATGCCAAGGGGATTGCTCTGCCAAAATCTGAAACACAGAATCACAAGGCCCATTTCATGCATCAGTTGCATCTAGAAGCTGTGAGCAAACAGCCCCTGAAAGGCACATATGGACTAAGGAATCTCATCTCAGGTTTTTATATTCTCTTGTAGGTGTCCATCATCATGCTCAGTGATCACTTTGGTACTGCCTGGGACTGGACAAACTCAACTGAGTTTGTTGAAAAGAATGTTTTCTTTCATTCCAGTTATTAGACAGATACTGACAGCACATAGGGGTAAAGCTATTGGATTTTATTATACTATAATATATGTAAATAATTCTAATGTTAAGGATGTGCCACTTTTTATTCTGCAGTTACAAATGTGCATTTCATTTTCCTAAATTCTGGCTGTATTATTTATAATTGTGTTATTTCTCTTACAGGACAGGTTTATAAGTAGTTCCACACTTGATATCACTCAGATATAGAAACCAGCTTTAACAAACCTCCTGTTAAAATAGCCTGAAGTTTACATGAGCAAGAACTGCTGAAATCTAGCTTCTAATCTGCACCATATGTTGGCATGCCTCCTTCTTGGAGATGACATTTTGCTTTGTTTCCAGTAGATAACTTTTCTTTTAAAGAAAAAAAAAAACCTGATGAGAGGCTACAGGCAGGCAGATGGATGAGGGATGGGTGTCTGCTGCACTGTCCCTGCCTGTTTCAGGGTCACTGCCTTCCACAACTGTCACACTGAGACCTCTCAAAATGCTTTGCATTTTTACCATCCTTTCCGAAATTCTCCAGTTGCAAAAATCCCTCGGTGGGTATCCAGGCTACAATGGATTTAGAGCTGCCTCACAATCTCCCAGCAATAACCCTGTCCGCTCTGGCAGATCAGCAGGGAGCTAGCCACGCTCAGGAATAACGAGGTGAAGGAGTCAGGGAATATAGGATCAAGACAGGTATGCCCAGCAAAAATTTATTAGCTTAACAGCTCTCAACTAAGTATTTGCTACTGGCCGAACCTGGTGTTTTTCATTAAATAGCAGCTTCTCTGTAGCAGAGCCGCTGGTTTATGTTGGGATGCACAGGGGATATTTACTGCCGAGAGCGCTCCCGGCCCTGGGGTTTCTGGCACGGCCGGCGGTGTCAGCCATGGCTCTGTGTGACCCGATCTGATTCTGGCAAGTTTCCCGCGGTGCTTTTCCACTGAGGCTATTTCTGTGCGGCTGTGAGCGCAGAGGTCACCGCGCTCTTTGTCACCGAGCTCAGGGCGCTGCCCGCGCCGCCGGGAGCGGTAGCAGGCGGCGCTCGGTGCAGGCCTGCGGCTGTGTCGGTGCGTCTGGGGCCGAGCGCGCTCCTGTACGGGCTCCATGCCGAGGGGCCGGAGGCGGTCGGTGGCAGCGGGCAGCGCTGCGGGTTACGAAACCCTTACGAAACCTCTTACAAAACCCGCCGGGCCGGGCCGGGCCGCGCCGGGCTCGCGTGACGTCACACCCGCCTGCGCGCCCCCTGCCGGCACAACGCGGGAACGGCCTGCGCTGTGACGTCATCGGCCACCTGCGGCCGTGCTGACGCCATCGGCCGCACGCAGCCCGGGCCCCGCCGCCCCTCGCCGCCTTGCCCTGGCGCGGCGGGGCCGGGCCGGGCGGTGCGAGCCCCGGCCTGACCGGAGCGCGGCTCACAGAGCGCACCCGCCCGTGTTTGCGCGATGGGCGGCGAAGCCGGCGGTGCCGGCACTGCCACCCCCGGGCGCGCTCTTCACGCCCAGCCCGGGCCGGGGGTCACGGGCGGCGCCTGGGGCCGTCCCAACCTCACCCCGAATGTCCCCGGCCGGGCACGGCCCGGGTCACGCGGGACGCGCCCCGTGACGTCAGCGCGGCGCCGCGCGGCGATTGGCGGACGCTGTCCGCGCAGGCGCGCGCCGCCGGCGGCAGAGCCGGGCCCGCGGAGCCGAGCGGCGGCTGCGGAGCGCGGCCGGGCCGGGAGCGGCCCCCGCAGCCATGAAGATCTGGACCTCGGAGCACGTGTTCGAGTAGGTGCCGGGCGGGGCAGCGGGCGGGCAGCGGCCAGGCCGGCCCGGGCTCGGGCTCGGGCTCGGGGGGGGCCTCGTCCGGCGGGCCGGGGGCTGCGGGGCTGCCCCGGGCCAGGGCGGCCCCCGGGAGCTCCGGGCCGCGGCCTCTCGCCTCCCCTGACCTTCCCCCGCGCGTCCCTCCGGGCCGGGCTCACGGGGCCGAACCCGCGCGGGGCCCCGCGCTGCCGGCACCGAGCGCCGTCCTTGCGCTGCCCCGAGCGCCCTGAGGCCCCGAGTGCTGCCGGGGCTCAGGGGCTCCCCACGCCTGGGGAGAAATAATCGGAAGGGAGTACTCGTTAGAGGGAACTAGAAACTTAATAAATCACTCCAGTGTTATGAAAATTTGGATGAAGTGCGGTCTTTTAGCATGGTGTTACAGGGAAAACACTCTTACCCGGTTATAACAGAGCCAGCACACCCAGTTAATCAGGTGTGATGTGTTTTCATCGGCACTGCTCACCCAACGAAATAGAGTCTTTTCTCCAGGGAAGGATATAATCCTATTGCAGACAGAGATGTGCAACTTGGTGTCCTGATTGTGTTTGTGCAGTCATCCCTGGGAAACCGTGATGACAGCTGCCATGAGGAAATACCCCAACCCCATGAACCCCAGCGTGGTGGGAGTCGATGTCCTGGACAGACACGTGGATCCCAGCGGGAAGCTGCACAGCCACAGGCTGCTGAGCACAGAGTGGGGAATCCCATCCATTGTGAAATCGGTGGGTGTTGTGTCACAGGCCAGAAAGGGACACCGCAGGGAGGGGAAGCTCCTGAGCCAGCTGCTGTAATAGATGTGTATCATTTCATCATTTAATGGTTTAAAAGTTTAATGGTTTAAGCATTTCTGTATGGGGAAAGCTTAACAGCAGCACACAGTGACCCTGACAGCCAAATCTGCATCTTAGGCTGGAAAATGAGATCTGCCTCAGCTGAATAGCTTTGTTTTAAGCTAGATCCTAATTGTGTTCTCTTGGTGTCTGTTCAATGCAGTAACCACTGCATTTAAAGGCATGAAGAATTGCAGTGGGTTGGTGGAATTGATGCCATCTCTGTTTGCCTGTCCCCAGCTCATTGGCACCTGCAGGACAAGGACGTATGTGCAGGAGCACTCTGTTGTTGACCCTGTGAAAAAAACAATGGAGCTTAAATCCTGCAATGTAAGTAGTTGTGTTTGTGCCTCTGAAGTGGAGCACAGAGTATAACAGCACCTTGTACTTATGAAAAGGAAAATCATCTTGAAAATAACTTGAAAATTGCATTGGAAGAGTACAAGTTAAAGGTTTAAGTAACGTGGTTAGAGCTGATCAGTTCTGGTTTTCAGGAAGGAGCTGCTTGGCTTTTGGAACTTGTCACTGTTGAAGCTGTGAACATACTGATGAGCAGGAGTTTTGGGGTGGGAGTGGTGTTAAGAAAAAATGTTTTAAAGCCTCTTGGTGTAGGTACACTGTGACTGTCCCCTAATCATGTGACATTTTGCTCTCTGTAGTACTCTGTTATTTGTATCAAAGGGTAATCCTGTCCTGTGTTCTACAGATTTCATTTACAAACCTCGTGTCAGTCGATGAGAGGCTTGTCTATAAACCACACCCTCATGAACCACACAAGTGAGTACCTCCCTGCTCTGAGATTGACTGCATTTTGCTTTGAAAATGTCCATGGTTTCCCGTGATCAGAAGATGAGGGTTACATGGTCTCTGTTACAGTAAATTGTCTAAACCAGGATTGAATGGACTGTCACTTGCTGCAGTGACATTGGTCCTGCAGAGCCCTGGGAGACTTTGGGTCACGCTGTGCTGGAGTCCAGTCCAGTTCAGGGTGTTCTGTCTCTAACTGAACTCGTGTACATCTGCAGTTTTCAGCTCCTTGTTCCACACTGATGTGCCTTCAGCCTCTGATTTTGGAGGTTTGTGTTTTGGTGGTTGCTTGGTGTTTTTAATGCAGCTTAGAGCTTCGTGAGTCTGTACTGCTGCAAGTGGAGATAAATCTGAAAGATCATGCTAGAGATTCTAACATTGGAGTTTTTTGTGTCATGACAGTCAGAAATGTTCAGTCCCCATTGTTGAAGGGGATGTTTTAATACTGTTTTCCCAGTGTTCAGTAACTCCAAATCTGCTGTTTCCACTCTTAACATCCTGCTGCTAAAGATGGAAATGGCTGAGAGCCACAAAGGGAGGCTTGGACTTGCCAGGCACTCCTGGGCTTTATTTTATAAGTAGAAGCATGAAGCAATTACACAATGTGGCAGTGAGTTGTGTTCAGGGGGCAAGAAGTTCTGTGTTATGGAGCAAAGCTGATGAGGGAATGTACTTGTAGGGCAGGAGGGAGTTTCTGTTAAACTACTCAGAGTAATTCAGTTTCCTGCTCTGTTTCAGAACCATTCTGACACAAGAAGCAATAATATCTGTAAAAGGTGTCAGCCTCAGCAGTTACCTAGAAGGGCTAATGGCAAACACAATTTCTTCCAATGCTAAAAAAGTAAGTATGGCCTTTGTGTGAAATGTGTGGTCACTGGCTAAATGTCAAAGGGAATAAAGATCTCTGGTTCACTTTTTGACTGTCAGCAGTCTTAGAAAGGAGCCACATAGTTCTGCTGCCTTTACTGTAGAGACTGAATGCTCAGCATGCTGAGCTTATTCTTCATTTTCCTCTTGTGAATGGAGATAAGATGAATTGTTATTGGCAAAGCTCTCTGAATCTTCACTGGAGAAAACATCTCCACTCACTCAGCAGTGGGACACTGTCATTCTTTTGCTGCCCTCTTGATGCCACGTATTCATTTTTGCTGTCAAAAAAGGACCTACATTCATACAGAATGTGTGAATACAGACCTGAAATAGTTATGTGGGAGCAGTGAAGCAGTATTTTAGTTGAGAGTCTGTCCTCTGGCAATCCAAAGATACTTGAGTTCAGCCTCGAGAATGATAAAGCAATCTGGCTAAAAAGTCTTTTGTGGATCATAATGTGAGAACTGCTGGTACAAGGAATTGTTTTAATGAAATCAAAGGCAGAACATGTTCCAGCAGTACTCCAGTTATTGAAATAGCATCAGAGGCATGTTTTTTTGTTCCTTCCTCCTTTAACTGCTGTGTCTTTAGTCATTTTCAGTAAGAATTTAGCTGATTTACTTATTTACTAAGACTTATGCACTAATAAACTTTCCTTTAACTGTAGGGCCGTGAAGCATTGGAATGGGTAATTAAAAGACTGAATGCTGAAATTGAAGAGTTTGCAGCTTCAGCAAGAGGAACCATGAGGAACTCGATGGCAGCAGCAGCATTTGTAGAGAAATGATGATAATTAGACTTGTATCACTAACGAGGCTTAATGACCTGCAGCCTCTCTCCAGGCCTAAATACATGTATCCTTTGTTATTTAAAGGATGTGTGTATTAGGCATGTTATAAATTTAATTTGGAGAAAAACTGAATTCTTCCCAAGGCTGAGGCTCAAAGGCTGTTTAATATATTGGGTCAGCTGGACCGATGAAGAAATAAATTTCAAGTGTAGTTCCTGTATTTACATGAACACTAACTTATGTTTGCAGATATGAAATAGCCTCATGTAGTGCTGAGGCTGCATATGGTGGAGGACACTGGCATGTTAGGCTAACTTTTATTTTTTGTGTGACTTATGGACTACCTCTTTTGGGACCAAGCCCAAAATTAAGCAGAATGGTTGTTCCAGAATTGTTCTTTTAGTTGATTTTTGACAGTTGTGTAATACAACTTGGTTTAACAGAAAGCTTATTACTTGATGCTTGAAATATAAAAGAATGTATAAAATATTTTTTGATAACCTTTTTAACTTGACTGGTTGAACTAACACGGTACTCAAATTGTTTTTCAGGCACTATAGGTAAAACATCAAAGTGTCTCTTACCTACCTACCAAGACCTAAATCCTGCTCCTAAATGCAACATCAGTGAGCTGGGCATGTAGTACCTTAAAATCAAATTTTATCTTAAACTCCTGCAATAAGTATCTCCATTTCTAAAAGCCCATTACATAAAGGTACGATAAGCACAGAGCCTTAAAATCCTGCAAGCTGCTACAGTAGTAGGTGTTCACTTTAAAGAACCAATTAAAGGCTAAAAAACCTTTGTGAAGGTGGCTGAGGAGATACCTGAACATAAAAGGAAATAGTATTTAACAATATACTCATTAAGTTGATCACAGTTCCAGAAACAACCTGCCCCATCCACAGGCTGTTGTGTTTCACTTTAACCAGCATCTGAAGTTCCAGTTCCCTTCCCCCTTTGAACTGGTTTGCTCACAGTCCAAGGCCCTGTGTATTCTCAGGGGTTTCACTTGGTGTTCTGCAGTCTGTGTTTCCTGGTACTCGTTGCAGGCTCCTGGTACTGTCAGCAGTCATTCCCTGTGGGAAGGGAAAGGTCAGCCCTTGGCAGTGCCACGCTGTGCCACTCTGCAGCAGTGCTGGGCCCCTCACGGGGACTGTGCCACCAGGCCCTTCAGGGGGAGCAGGAAAAGGCACAGCCCAGAAGGAGCTCATGTGGTATTTTGGTGCCCAAGGTTTTTCCTGGAATTTTGATTCTAAGCTTACAAGTGATTTCAAGGCTCTCTTAGCCTTTATGAACTGTAATGTCACCCTGCCCAGCATATTTGATTTTGCATGCCATTTCTGTTATATCAAATTGCCTATTAAGTAGTGTCTGCTTACAGAGCTTATTTTAACAAACAAGAACACTTCCATAAGGTTTGTGCTTGGGGAAGAAAACAGGAATATAGATACATGACTTTTAAAAATTAACTATTCTAAACAGAATATTTTTCTAAACAGAAATGGCTTGAGACTACCTTACTAATTGAAGTCATTGAGGTTTGCCATACTTTTACAGGAGATTATTACAACTGAAATAACATTTCAATTTTAAAAGTGTATGTGAAACTTCTGCAAAACTGTACCATCATTTCTGATAAAAATGCTTACCTTGAAATTCATTTTATATGTTTGCTCAGCCATTAGCATTGTTTGATATTCTAAAGTCAGTTTTTTCATTTCCAAATTTTTCTGCACTAAAGACTGCATAGTAGAACTCACATTTTGGCCTTGCATTGAAAAAACCTTACTGTTTAATTTCTACAGGCATTCAACAACTTCTTGAAAGAAATAAATTTCTTTCTTCTATTTTATTTATATGCCTGCATTCTCATTCTGTCAGAGTATGGCTTTCTGTATGTGGCGCTTTTTAAATAAAATTTTGTTTCAGTTCTGGCTAGTTCCTGAAACTTTCTGGTCTATTTGTGTTTTAGAACTATGAGGTGAGTAATCTAAAATGAGAGGCCTGAAGGTGAAGAAATCCCTGGAGTGGGTGGCTTTTTTTTAAATGTATATCCTAAAATGCACATTCATAGCTGCTGTGGTTTTTATTGCTTCTTAATAACTCAGCTTTTCTGCAAATCTGGCTTTAACTAGCAAGCAGATTGCAGAGTTTGCTGCGGAGAATCCGTCCTGTGGAAGGATTTTCACGGGCTGAGAGCTGTGTTGAGATGTGCTGCAGTCAGCGTGGGTTGCTGTGGGTGGGTGCAGCACCCCACTGAGAGAGGGCAGGGCAGGGCAGGGAGGCTCTGGGGGCTGGAGGGAATGGAGGAGATGAGGAAGAGAAAGCAGCTACAGCTGGAGGAACAGAAATGAAGGACCAGGAGGGAAGAATTTAAAATAAGGGGGAAGGGACAGAGGAAGTGGAGGGGCAGAGGTGGAGGAATGAGATGTGAACAATTCAGTGCTGAGGGCCCTGATGGATCCCTGCCCACCAAAGGGTGTCAGCACCTGCTCAGCCGCAGCAGTGAACCACAAGTGCCAGCCAGGGATTTGATCCAAAAAAAAAAGCAGAAAAATTGTAACCACCATTTCCTGGAACATTGCTGATCTGTCTCCTGTGGTCTGTACTTTCATTCATATTTCCAATAAATGTCAAATCCAGTAAACATGAGCACCCACTGTGTGATAACTGCAGCATTTCCAGTCTCCTGGCCCTGACAGAGCATTGGCTCCAAGGGAAGGGCAGCAACCTGTTGAGGTTCACTTTTATGGAAGAACTGAAGAGCTTGTGTGGAAGCAGTGAGTCATTTTAGAACCCTTCCATTTCTTAAGGTGGAGGTTGTTCTTTCACTTGCCACAGGATCTGTTAATTTCTCTCTTAAATAACTCCATGGCTTAGCTTTACATGCTGCTGTAGAACTGAATTATTCTAAGCTAAGGCTACATGTTACAACCAAGCTGAACTCATTGCTTACCTTAGGAGGACCCTGAGCACCAGCTGTGGATAAAATATCTTACATCATGATGCTATTTTGTTATAAACACATTTAAAAAGCAACACAAGTTATTAACCACGTGAAAAGAGGAAGTAATGCACAAGATTTTTTAAACTTGAGTGTACCTGAATTCTTTGCAGATCCTGGGTCCTTCCTCAGGCTATTTATGCCAGATTTTGTAGAATGGACAGCTGAGACTTGGATGACACTGCAAGATTATTTTTATTTTGAATCCAGGTGTCCAAAAGTTGAAAATTAACATCTTCATCAACTAACCTTCAAAATACTGTCCTGTAATAGGGAACAGCACAGAACTGAATCTCTTTTAAAATCAGAGCTGATTTCAGTGAGGTGTTTGCTGGCACTCTGTGCAGTGCTGTGCTCAGACAGGAGATTTAGCAGGGGATGACCTGTTGTCATCAGCATGGCATCATTCGAGTGGCTGTGCAGCAGATTAGGGTCAGCAGCAGAGAGAACAGCAGAGCTTTACCAGCACAGCCCAGAATGGCTTACCCAGGCACAGAAAGGAGGTAAATCCACAGCTACCCAAGGTAGGAAATGTTATTACTGACCTCTACGTTTTGGACAAAGGTGAACATAATTCCACGTTTCTTGACAGTGTTATTTCATAGGAAAAAGTGCAATAACTTTATTATTTTAAATTAAGACAGAAAGAACTCAGTGAAGAGATGATGGAATTTATAGACTGTTGGACACCGGCTTTTTATTGTATTGTAATTTGCCTTTTTTTTTTTTTTATAGACTGTTGGACACTGGCTTTTTATTGTATTCTAATTTTCCTTTTTTTTTTTTTTTAATATTTGTTCTCCTCTGTAAAACTTTGAGATTAAAGATAGCCACAAAATTATATTGTTTTTAGATAGCAAGGGGTTTTTTTAAGGGGTTAATTACTTTTATGTTTTATTAAGAATACAGGACAGCAAGCAAACTTGTCATTTCATCATAAATTTTGCATGTTTGGAAAAAGCCATTTGTTTTGCCTTTTGATCTATAAACATTGTACTCTTGAAAGAATTGCAACCATGTTGCAACAGCTCTTAAATTACAGAAGCATTATTTCTAAATGTTAAATATATTCAAGAACTTTTGGGGGTCTCATCAATGGTACATAAGCAGCTCTTTTTTTAGCGTGGCAATTTTTGCACTGTGCTAAATCCCCACGGTTTTAATGTTTGCACAGTAAGACCCCATTGGAGCGCAGTGGCTGCTCAGCAGAACCTGCCTCAGCTGAGAGGTGCCCTGGGTGGGAGCTGCACCCGTGGTGATTGTGTTAAATCCATTACACACTCATCTGCACGTGGGCTGTGTAAGAACCGGGCAAAGCTGGGCTGTGTTCACCTGCAGCCTCCTGTACCTTGCGCTTCCTTGGTCCATAAATTGTGGTTGTGACGAGAGAAGAGTTTTTTGTGCCTTCCTGTCCTGTCTGGAGAGGCAGCTGCAGCTTTGAGAGCTCTGAGCTCTGCGGTGCAGTCTGGAGACGAGAGGAGGCAGCTGTGGATCAGCCTCTTGATCTACTCACACTATAATTAGATGCACCTTTTTGAACTGAAATTTAAGCTGTTCTGTTCCCTTTTTAATCGCGTCTGCTTCTATCACAACTTCTCTTTATGTTATTTTTATTAAACAATTCAAACTAGCACAAATTTAAAAAAAATCGTTACTATACAGATTTTATATCCAGAGGTATAATCAAAAGATAACAAAATAAGACCTCTTTTTATCTGATAACAGCTAACTGCTGTTGCTGAAATGTGTATTTCTCGGACACAGAATCAGTTTAGCACATTGTTAGCTTCCAAAAACAAATCCTGCACATGCTACATAGACAAATAAATTTGGTTGAAGGACAAGCATGCCAGGAGAGAAGACTCTCTCCAACTGTACGTGTGATTCTGTTCTGGTCCCCTGGAAAGAACAATGTTCTCAGTAATTCTGTGGGCTCCTATTACTGGAGCTTTTCTGCACCAAAAGAGAAACTACTAAGAGACCGAGCACAGAGTTTGAATCATTATTTAAAAAAAAAATTTTGGGGGTCATGCTGTCTTTTTGTTTTGGTGTGATGATAGAGGTCTTTTGTTTAAAATGCTCCTGATTTAATCCCATCATGTTGGGGATTTATTTGGCTTTTCAGTGTCATCTCTTCAACCTACCTGGACCTACTTGGTCTCACTTTTTGGCCTCCCTGGACCCCTCCAGTGCCAAGACTTTAGCCTCCTTGGAACTCTTTAAAATCCCCTTTTCAGATTCATTGGATTTATCCAGTCTGAGCTCTTCATCCTCTGTGGAATTCTCCAGTCTCACTTCTTCATCCTCTCTGGACCTTTCAAGTCTCACATCTTCATTCTCCTCAGACTTCTCCAGTACCTCCTCTTCAATTTCCTTGGAGCTCTCCAGCCTCACCTCTTCAGATTCCTGGGAGCGCTCCAGTTTCTCCTCTTCAGTTTCACTGGACCTATCAAGTCTCACTTCATCAGGCTCTGTGGATCAGTCTGGTGACAGTTCTTCAATCTCTTTAGACCTCTCAAGTGTCACCTCTCTATCCACAGATTTCTCCAGCCCTACTTCTTCACTCTCTCTAGACCTCTCCAGTCTCACTTCTCCGTCCTCCACAGATGTTTCCAGTCACACCTCCTCAGCTTCCCTGGACTTTTCCTGTACAATCCCTCCATCCTCACCAGGTGTCTCTGAGAACAGCTCCTCCACCTCGTCGGAATCTCTAGACCTCACCGATTTTAACTATTTCGTGTTTCAGCGCTCCTCTGGATTATCTCCATCAACTCCCGAGGATGTTTCCAACCTCATCTCTACACCTTTTCTGGATGTCTCCAGTCTCACCTTTCAGGATGCTTCTTCCCTCAGTCCCTCAGTTTCTTTGGACATGTCTAACCTCACGTCCTTAGCTCCCCCAGACCTGTCCACGCTCACGTTTCTGGACGTTGCTAATCGCACTGCAGCGGCTTCCCTCGACCTCTGCATCTAACCCTGCTAACCCATCCCCTCCCTCTGCAGCCTCCTCAGCTTCTCTCCTTTCTTCTCTCCCTGAAAATTCCTACCTGAGGAAATTTTAGGGCTTTACAAAATATCTCCTGGCATCTAAACTGGGCATGAAAACAAGTCATACAAATCTGTAACGGTGCCTTGGAACAGCTGCACAAACATCAGTGTTCGTTCTGGAGTTTTGGTAGAGCACGGTTTCTGTCACTGAGTGATATCCAGTCATGGTTGGTACCTCTCCCAAAGGTTTAGCGTTTTCAGTTCATGCTGAATTTTTATCTATCAAGACCAACAAATAGTAAAGAGAGCTAAATGTGTAAGTAATTGCATCCAGGTTGTGTATCTCCATTATGGATTTATATCCGAGTTAATTTCACAGAATTGCAGGCAGAGGCATTTCACAGGGAAGTACAGAGAGAGAAAATGTGGTGGAAAAGAAAATTGTGGAGCAAAAACCAGGTGAGAAATAGGTTAGGGAGAGGAAGCAGAGAAGCTGTGGGGCAGGAATAGAGGGGCATCTAGCTGGAAAAAAAAATCCAACCCCGCTGGCATGATTTTTCTCTGCCAAGCCATCCATGGGGCCTGGGCTGCCCATGAGGCTTAAAATAATCTTATTGCTAATTATTTTACCTTTCAAATCATCAGATGTTCCCACTAAAGAAGCATTTGCATGTTACATCCTCTTTTTCAATTTATGTAAGTACTGCAGTTACTTGTCTTGCATCAAATATGCTGCTCAGGTAGCACAGAGGGGCTTCCCAAAATCTTTGGTGCTGTCTTGTATATTTTTGTTATCATTGTTATGACTGGGGCTTGGAAACCAAATATATTTCCTTTCAATATCACTGGCACCTTTCTGTGTTAAAAGTGCACAAACATGTTTGTCATAACAAATATTTTTTCATTTATTTCATTTCTGCAAATTGGAAAGCTTTGCTCCAATATGCCACATCTGTCACAAAATTAAAATATGTTTCACACAAAAATAAAGAAGGAAACAAATGTATGAATTAAGAATTGTTTTCTGCCTCGTCTACACTAGTTATTTCCTTAAAATTAAGTAGGACCAATTGCAATATGTGTATTTAAGAAATTAACCCAAAATTCTATAGGAGCAGAGTTGGTTAACAGTTAAAAAAAATGACAGATCGCTGGTCCAGATCTGACTGCTGTATGCTGGAGACAGACTGACATATCTGGTGATCAATTGTTCTTTTTGCTCTGGGGGCTCTCCCCTGACATTACTGTGTGGGCTGTTAATTGCAAAGGTGCTGGACTAAATGAGATCTCTAATAAAGCTGAAAATTACTCTGTGCTTTAAAAATGGTTTGACTTTGGATGAAAGGAAGTAAAAGAGAACAAAACAAAAGTGCAAGGATTTGTTTAAAAGCCGGTATTTAATCTCCTTAAATATTTTGTATTAATTATTTAAATGAACATTAGGTAAGGACCAAATTGCTTACATATCAAACATGATTTGAATCTTCTAACAGCTTTTTGTTTATTATATCTGGGAAATTGACTATTTTTTTCTTTGTGTCGACAGCTTCTAGTTTACTATGTTGTCTTTTATGGATTTGTTTAGAGGAAATGATTGAATTTCAGGTGCCCCACGGGACAGCACTGTCACAGCCTGGCCACACACGGATCAACTCCAAAATTTAAACAGTCTGCTTAAAAAACATCACTGGCTCCACATGCTTGTAAAATGGTTTTATTATTAATGTCTTATCTAGAAAAAAAAACAGGAAGTGATAGTACAGAGGGGAAAGAACAGCTTTAGGTGCAAAAGACACCCATTTAACTTGCTCGGATTCTTCGATTACAACAGGATTGCTGAGGAAGGAGTTAATGTGTAACTAACACAGGTGCTCTATAACCAGCCATGACCCTCACAGAAAACTTGCCCTTTACCTTATGCTCTTTAGATATTTGACATTTAGGGTATTTCCGGCCGATTCCCAGCACTGAACCACTGAACCGACTCCCGTGGTTTTGACAGGCAGGCGGGCCCCGGCCGGCCGCAGGCGGGACGCTCCCATCCCGGGAAGGGCACGAACCTTCCCTCACAGCCGGGGCCGGGGCCGGGGCCGCCCTGAGGGGCCGGGGCCGCCATGGCCCCGCCCACCGCCCCTCACGGCCGCGGGGCCGCCCGGGCCGAGGGGAAGGGGCGGGGCGAGCCCGGGGCGCGTCAGGCGGAAAGGGCGGGAACCCTGCCCCGCAATGGAGCCCTCTGATTGGCCGCTGGCGGAGGGGCGCGCCCGCGAACGGCGGCGCGCTTGAGCGGCTCCCGCCCGCTGATTGGCCGGCGGGCACGTCCCCTGCGGCGCGCGCTGACCTTGCCCCGCGGAGCCGCAGCCATGGTGGCGTATTGGCGACAGGCCGGGCTCAGGTACGGCGGCGGCGGCGGCCCCGCGGTGAGGGCGCGCCGGGCGGGGTCACAGCGGCGCCGGGGGAACGCGGGGTTGGGGCGGGGGAGGCGGTGTTGGGGCCGGGCCCGGGTCTCACCGTTCTCTGTCGCCCCGGCCGCAGCTACATTCGGTACTCGCAGATCTGCGCCCAGGCGGTGCGGGCCGCCATGAAGCCGCAGTACAAAGCGGAGGCGGAGAGGGCAGCGGTGGCCACGGTGAAAACGGTGAAGCCCAAAAAGGAGTGAAATGTAAGTGGGTGGGGTGGGCTGGGTGCGTGGCTGGAGCTGTGTAGTGCAGGAGTGGCGTTAGCCGTAGTCAGTGACTGCCGAGTCCATTAACCCCCAACATCTGGAGATAATCGGCTCGATTTCCAGGCATGGGATTGGGGCTGGTGTGGGGCGGATGTGCGCAGCTGTTCGTGGCCTGGTGACGTGTGGGATGGGAAGCAGCCTAATCTCATCAGTGAGGCGAGAGGAACTGTCTGTCAGACCCTGCACTGAACCACTTGGGGTTTGCTCAGACCCGTTGTGGGCTTACACAGACATTACACAGACATTACACAGCCGCGGCTCTGTGGTGATGCTCACAGGCTTCTCGATGATTTTCACCTTTCATACTTGCTAAGCCAGCAGACAGCCTCTCTGAACTGCTCCTTCCCCTGGTCAGCAAATCTGTTTATGGGTTTTCTGCTCTCTGTGAGACAGATGCTGCTTATATCTTTATTTGTGCCGTCCCATACATCACAAGCAGCTGATTATTTTCTGTTCTGGACAGAACAGCTTCTGTTCCTGACCTGAGATTAAATATTATTACCTTTTGTTTAAAGTGTACCTTGTACACATTCTTGAATTGAATAACTTGTATTTTAAATCTCTTGTAGGAGCTGATCTGTGGTGAATAACAGCAAACTGCAAAGCTGTAGGCGAGCTCAAGACTGCAGTGTAATGTCATTACATGAGCTGTAGAACTTGCCTGTTTATGTAAATTGACATGCTAATAAATGTAATTTCTGAATGTGTGGAAAGTGTAGTTCCTCTTGAAACAAAGTTTCTGTTCTGCAGCAACATTTACTTTTCAGTTCTGTTAAAATAAAAGGCTGCTTTTAGCACAATCTGGACATTCAGTAGCAAAATTGTTTTTATTTTTAAGCCAAATCTATTTTTGGGTGTCATCCTGATATTTCAGATACATAAATGAGTGAGAGGTTTGATTGTTGTTTAAAACTTTTCTGCCTACTTCATTTAATTATTACTTTTGACAAAAGTCCTGGCTAAAAGCTGTGTAAACAGAGAATGTAGCATATAGATTTGAAAACTGAAAGCAGGATAATTGTGCCATGGATGTGCTGCTGGAGATCTGATCTCCAGGTCTGAGACACTGAGCAGTGAATCAGGAATTGGGAGAGCTGGTGTCCTGTAAGAGGTGGGCAAGGAGACACAGGAATGTGAATTGTTTATCCTCATTGCACAGGGAGGAGAGGGAGAGGGACACGTTCCCTGGGAAGCAGGAATGGAGGGGGACACTGCTCTTGGCTGGGAGGCAAAGCTGCTCTCCAGGCTGTGTGGTTTTGGGGGAAGTTTTTGCGTTTTCCTGGTCTGTGTATCCTCACAGCAGGGATGACATTGTCCCACTGCACAGGAGAATTGGCTTCAGGTTCTTTCACCATGACTGACCTCAAACATGAGGCATTTCTTTCTTCAGAGAACAACAAACCTTTTCATCTAAGAGTACAACTAATTTAATTCAAAGTTAGTTCTTTCAAGAATAAACTATGGGGGTTTGTCTATCAAGTGTTTCAAGTATAAAACTTCCATAGAATGGTACATAATCTTTATTTAAAAGAATATTATAAATACATTAAGTAGGCAGCTGTGATGGCAAGAAATTTTTTTCACCAAAGGCAAAATAAGATTTTGGTTTAGTGACTGCCATAGAATTTATATTAACAAACTACAAACCATTCTATGTCATTTTTGTTGTACTGAATGTTAGGAAAAAAATTTACAGTAGTTAGTACCTAGGAAAAAAAAATACCACACCAAAACTTTTACACAATGTCACAACTTAGTGTGCTAATGTAACTCAACCTGTAGTTAGAAATACAAACAAACCACACCATGATAATGAATACAAGCTCTGCAATAATATAAGCCAGCAATGTGATAGAACAATTAAGAGTACTTATAAAATAAGAATGTGCATATTCAGTCATTTGCCCCCTGTTGTTTCTGCAGATCTACATCAGTCTGTGGAGTGATAAAAGAGTCACTTCCTTTGGAGGCCTCAGAGATGTGCACATGTTCCTAAAACAGTAACAAGTTCACAATCAGCAGGGACTGTGTTTACCTGAGAATAAATAAATGTGATGAGCTGACAGCATATTTTGCTATTGCTTAAGATCCTGATCTATATACACAGGCACAGTGGTGTATAGTACATTCAGTATCTGGTGATTATGTTCTAAAAGTGAATCCATTTACAGGAAAGGCTGGTATGAGATAACGTGTCTTCAAGTGGATCGGTTTTGGGAGAGATTCGATCTCAACTGTTGATTAAGACAGTAAAGCAGAGCTGCCATTAATTTCAAAAGCACTGTGTTGTAATATCAGATATACTTGGCCAGATGCACAGAAGAGTTCTGAAGAAAAGTGTTATTTTGGATATGCAGATGATGGCTGTTGCTTTGTCTTTAGTGAATGTGAACAGGCTCATTTGGAGAATGTTTTGATACTTTTTACTCTGCTTCCTTTTCTGGCTTGGCTTCTGCTTCCACTTCTACCTCTTCAAATTCCTCCACATCTGCAGTGGCATCCTGGTACTGTTGGTACTCGGACACGAGGTCATTGGTGTTTCCTTCTGCTTCAGAAAACTCCATCTCATCCATGCCTTCCCCCGTGTACCAGTGGAGAAAGGCTTTCCTTCTGAACATGGCCGAGAACTGTTCGGACACCCTGATGAAGAGCTCCTGGATGGCCGTGTTATTGCCAATAAACGTGGCTGCCATCTTCAGCCCTCGCGGCGGGATGTCACACACGGCCACCTTCACGTTGTTAGGGATCCACTCCACAAAGTAGGAGCTGTTCTTGGTCTGGACAGACAGCAGCTGCTCGTCCACTTCCCTGGTGGACATTCTGCCCCTGAAGATGCAGGCGACGGTGAGGTAGCGCCCGCGGCGGGGGTCGCAGGCTGCCATCATGTTCCGGGCGTCGAACATCTGCTGGGTGAGCTCTGGCACCGTCAGGGCCCGGTACTGCTGGCTGCCCCGAGCTGTCAGCGGGGCAAAGCCGGGCATGAAGAAGTGCAGCCGAGGAAAGGGCACCATGTTCACCGCCAGCTTCCGTAGATCCGCGTTCAGCTGGCCGGGGAAACGCAGCGAGGTGGTGACGCCGCTCATGGTTAGGGACACCAAGTGGTTGAGGTCCCCATAGGTGGGGTTGGTGAGCTTTAATGTCCTGAAGCATATATCATACAGAGCTTCGTTGTCAATGCAAAAGGTTTCATCCGTGTTCTCTATCAGCTGGTGGATGGAGAGGATGGCGTTGTACGGCTCCACCACCGTGTCGGACACCTTGGGTGAGGGCACAACGCTGAAGGTGTTCATGATCCTGTCGGGATATTCCTCTCTGATCTTGTTGATGAGGAGCGTCCCCATGCCTGAGCCTGTGCCACCACCAAGGGAATGGATGAGCTGGAACCCCTGAAGGCAGTCACAGCTCTCACACTCGTTCCTGACCACATCCATGACGTTTTCAATCAGTTCAGCACCTTCTGTGTAATGGCCCTTGGCCCAGTTGTTGCCAGCACCTGAATTACCTGTGAACAGAATTACAGAAAGAACGGCCACAAAGTTAAGAGGAGAATTTTTAAAGGATTCCAAGGCC